ACCAGGCATGTGCCCTTTTGGGGAATCCAACTGTGATCTCCCAGTTCACAGATCCATGCTCAATCACTGAGCCACACCAGCTGGACTGAACAAACATTTCTTAATTCATGAAAAGTAGAAAACTGAGATAGTTAATACTGACTAAATTAATATAAAACATATTTTAAACATCTAATTTAATAGGTGTTAAAAATTTATAAAACTTTAATCCTAGCATTTGTTTTTTAAAAAATATATCTGTATTGATTTCAGAGAGAGGAAGGGAGTGGGAGAGGTAGAAACATGGATGAGAGAGTCACTGATTGGTTGCCTCCTGCATGTCCCTTGATGGAGATCGAACTGGAAATCTGGGCATGTGCACTGACTGGGAACTGAACCCTGATCTCCTGGATCATAGAGTGACACTCAACTGCTGAGCCATGATGGTCAGACTTTAATCCTAGTTTTAAAAACTATTTGTAAAGGTAGTAAGAGAAAAGCCAGTATTATGGTGGCTTTATCAAGCAATCAAAGAACCAAACAAAAATATAAAAATTATGTATGTATACAAATAAAATGAGTAAAAGAGTAATTGTTCTATGTGTCAGCTACAGCGGCACCTTGGTTTTTGAATGTCTCCGTTGATGAACATTTTGAAAGGTTTACAAACACCATAAACCTAGAGGGAACTGCTTCAGTTTTTGAACATGCCTCGGAAGTTGAACTTGTCACATGGCTTCTGCTGAGTGTAAGATCCTAAAGCCTAGCTGTTGGCTGTTGATCCCTTGGTTTTCCAGAATGTATTACATTAGAAAATTGAGGTACCACTCTATTAGGGAAGAAGATGGAATCTACCATAAAAATATCCCTAAGTAGTTATCTTTGTTTTTAACATTTTTTTGAAGATGTAGGAATAATGTGTGTATGTGTTTCCACCAAACAATTTGTATAATACAATTTTACTTTTTATGGCACTGAATGACAGAATATAGCAAAAAAGAAAAGTTTTAGTATCTTTAATTGTACAGCCACTCTAAGTTGGGCACTTCAATTAATTATTGAAATTTTGATAATTCATGTGACAGAAATAGTTAAGATAAAGCAGAAAACAGGATACAAGGCATTTCACATGCGCTTGAAGATTAGAAGTAAAAATTACCTGTGTACAAATGCAAAGTTTATATCAAACTGCAATCTACTTGAGGTTTGTCTTTTGGCAAAAAGGCAAATAGCATGACAAAAGTACTTTACAGAAACATCAATCTTCTAGCAATGTATAAAAAAAATTAAGAGACTGAAATGAAAGTGAATTTCAGGCAAAAACTACAAAGCTGATATACTTCCTGTTCAATATTTTAAAAAATCAATCCTTGTCAAAACAAAATAATAAAAAAGTAACTGTTTTAAGGAAGAACATAATAACAAGTGAGGTTTTAAAAAGTTGCTCATTTAGATATATGGTGATGACTTGTATTTCAGTAAAGAGAAGACGAATACAATTTAAGGTTAGACACCTTAGGGGTTAGACATTTTAATTTAGAATTCACCCATATGGAAGAGGGATTAAAAAGTGCAGGATGCACATAAGAGAGGGGTAGAAGTAAACCTTCAAAATGGCTAATTTGTGGGTTACAAACAATCTATGTGTCTAAAAAAGAGAATTAAAAAGAGAATTGGCAGTGATGAAAATGAGAACAGAAGAAAGAGACAGTGTGGTAATAAAAGAAAAAAACATTTTTCTAAATGCTAAGAGAAATAAGAATTTCTGAAACCAACATTTCATATTCAAATTTTAAAGTATCAAAAGACAAAATCAATGTGTCTACATGCTGATGTCTGAGTCCTCATTACCAGGTACTTTTCCTCTAACACAATTTACCTAGAGTCCTCTGAGCCTGGTTTATATAACAAAAGCAGCACTGAATAAAGTGGGTTCTAGCTCTTTCTGGGACACTAATTTCCTATATGACCTTGAAACCATTTTTCATCTTTGGACCCACTCCTCCTATCTGTAAAATGAGAGGATGAACTAGTTGCTGCCTGATCAACTGAAACAGCTCTGTGACTGTGGCTGACTCTGGGGGGGTCCTAGTTAGTTTAGCTATTACCAATTCCCCATCTCACTTTAATATTCAAGGTGTCCCAAAAAATGTATACACACTTTAACTGCTGATAGCTCAATTTTGAAAATGAAATGTAATTTAATAAACACTGTCTTTATAATTATTCAAAGTGTGTGTATACATTTTTTTTGGAGACACCCTATATGCAACCCAATCACACAATATCAATACGCAGTAGAGACTTGAATGCTGAAGTAAGAAGTGTCTGAAATACTAGGGATATCAAATTCCTAAGGAATTTTACTGACAATGAAATTTTCATTTGGCACTTTAATAAGTTTTAAAATATAATTTTTGACAAACTTGATTTTCTCTAACAATCAAGTAATAAACTAAAAGGCAGTAGATGAGAGTAAGAACAACAAAATCATAGAAAAAAATAACAGACTAAAAATAATTAATGTCTAAAATGATAATCTGGGAGTCAGAAAAAGTTATCTTCTACTTGAGAAATCAGAAGTTTTCTATACATTAAAAAATTTTTATTTAAAAAGGTTAAAAATAAAGCACATGCCAATTAACATGAAAAGTCCTGTATAAAACAGTGCCATTCTCAAAGAAATGGAAAAGTATCATTACTAGACATATTTCATTGTATCTTGATTATATATGGCTGTGATTAAACAATAACAATTCCTTACATCAAGCTATAAATTTTAAATCCTGAGCCACAAGGAGTAAAATATCCAGATGTATACTCAATTAACCTATTGAGGTAGGAATGCTAACATAAAAAACTGAATATAGCCCAGACATGAAAGCAACCTAAGTGTCCATCAATAGATGAACAGGTAAAGAAGTGATCTATGTATACAATGGAATATTATAAAGCCATAAAAAAGAATGGCTTGTTGCTCTCTGCAACAACATGGTTGGACCTACAGGGTATTGCACTGAATGAAGTAACTCAGAGAAAGGCAAATTCCAGATGACTTCATTTATATGTGGAATCAAAAAAATAAAAAACACCTCACAGCCCCCCAAAAAACCCCAAGCAGAGCAGAAAAAGACTAGTATAATATAGCAGATACAAAGAACCTTTTGACAGTTGCCAGATGGAAGGGTGTTGGGGGATGGGTGGAAAAGGTGAAGGGGTTCAGAATTCCATATTGGTAGTTACAGAACAGTCATGAAGATGTAAAGTACAGCACAGGGAATATAGTCAGTAATATTGTAGTAACTATACATGGCGTCAGGTGGATATGAGATTTATCAGGGTGATAACTTTTTAAGTTATATAAATGTTTAATCACAGGGGTGTACACCTAAAGCTAATATAATATTGTATGTCAACTAAAATTGAAAAATAATAAATATTTTTACAAACTTGACTGAAAGTAGCTAGCTTCATGATTAATAAATAAATTTTTAAAAGCAAGTATTGTAATAATCTCCCTCAAATATGTAAAAGCTAAAAGAAATTTAAATTTATAAAATTAAAAAATAATACATCTAAAATCAACACAAAAACTAGATTTCATCACAAACTTCTGCAAAATATTCTTATTTTAAAAATGAAGCAGAATTTACAATAAAGCACTACAACTGCATTGTTTATAACCTTGAGAAAAGGTACCTGACAGATCTAATTCAAATCCTTTCTTTTATAAGTGAAATGAAAACTGAGACCTCCAACTGTTAAATGAACTTTTCCATGGGCTACTGATAATCATCAGGCAGAATAAAAATGATGAAAATGAATACATTAAAAATGACAGAAATTAGGAAAACAATTTAAATACTGAATTAAAAAAATAATACTACTGATTACTATTTTATAAGATTCTGTAAAACTTATGATTCTTTAAAAACAAGCAATAATTCAAGTCACATGAAGACAATGTGAAAACAGAAACTAATAATGAACATAATTTTTCAGTAAAAGCAGCAAATTAAGAGATGCAATGGTACCTTCCAAGACTTTTGCTACAATGTATTTTAAATAAACAGTTACTGACAAGGTTATATTACCTGATCTAACATTTTAGATTCTAAGTCAACTATAAGCAGCACAATCCAAGTGTATGGTCTCACCTCCCAAGGAAATACCAACACTGGCCAGAATTAGGATCTGCTTCCAATGACTTTTGGAGATACTGAATTGCATAGCTTTCCTTGGTGGCTTTGTCTCCCAGTAGATCCACATTATGATGCATCCATCCTATAATTTAAAAATCATAAGCATTTACCCATAATTCAACTATTCTACTAGTTTTAAAAATACCATGAGGAGCACAAATTAAAATACCCTTTCAGTACTTTTACTTATCTTGGATCAAACTTCCCCCAAATTTAAAACTACCAAATATAACTATAGGAAAGTCTAGTTCACAGAAAAAGATACAATCAAGGGCTCTTAAAGTACAGAGAGAAATTCAACTGATTTGGGGTACTGAATTGGCACTAAATAGATTAGAAGCTTTAGCCTTTTTTCTAAATTTAAGTTGGAAAAATCCAACTTATGAGTCAAATAATATAAAGAAGATTAATTTACCATTCCTTTAAAGGTTAATGTATTTTTTGAAAAAATCTAGCAAGTCTATGTTTATTTGTAAGAAACAGATAAAAACATATAATCAAAGATAAACCACTGGTTATTTTCATTAACATTTGACCAAGAATAAAAACACCGAACAGAAAACCTCTAAGGCTATAATGAAATCTAAATGAAAAATAGGTTCAAAGACTTAGAGCACTACAGAATGATTAATAAAAAGGTTTAGAATTAAAGCTACTAAGACAATGAAAGATTGTATCATGATAAAAACGTTAATTTAAGACAAATAGAAACCAATGTTTGAGTTGTGAGTCAATCCAAGTGCATTAAATTACCTTTGTAAAACTAACACTTAGGCAAACTATTTAGTTGCTTTTAATGTGACAGATAAAATAGTGTCATTATCAAAATATTCATATTATCACTCATAATTTTGATTAAAATTTAGAAACTACTTGATCAATATAAGATAGAAACAGCTAAAATAAAAACAAACAATATATACAACCCAAATATTAAACATAGACATGATAACCAAAAATATGACTTACTGTATCTCTAAGTATAAAAATTACTTTTGGACATCAGATTTTCTCTTTTAACTCATAAAAATATAATAAATTGATAAAGAAAATGTAGAATATTCTTTCATTTTTGGTAAGATGTTTATATTAATTCATATTTTAAAGAGACTTATGAAAGCAAGCTCAAAAGCCACTTACTAGCTATGTGAATGATTTTAATTCAATTTAACTTCAGGGAGTGCTAAACACATGCAAGTATTCAAACCTCCTTCAGAAGGAAAAGTACTAGGATATCACAGAATTTAAAAGAACTAGCTACATTGAAGCACTATGTCTAGAATCATTTTGAGATGAATTGTGCTAGACATTGGGTGTCAACTCTGGACAGAAGAGAAGTAATACATTTATAGTAGAAAAATTTATAATATAAAGTATTCATTTTAAGTGCAATTTGAAAATAATACATGTCACAATCCTAAAACAGAAATCTAAATAAAAACCGACTTTCAAATCATAAGTTAAAATTGTTCCCCTGCATCCCAAACTTTTCTAAGTTAATGCAATATATAATAAAAAGTAAATTTTTATGTACCTAACTGTTGTAAAACAGTTGCTTTTACTTGTGCAGGTAGGTTTTCTGTCTGTAAAAGTTGTTCATAGGCTTCTTTTGCAAAATGATACTTCTGCTAAAGAGTAAAAAAAAAAAGAGGAATATTCATAGAAAAATAAAATAAATCTTTAAACAGAAATACTCTACATTATAAAAAGGAGCTGCTGACTTGATTTAGTTAACTTCTCAAGTAATAAAATAAACTAATACTAATTCACATTTGTAAAATGGCTTGTGTATAAAGATACCATTTTTTTTTTAATCCTCATCTGAGGATATTTTTTTCATTGCTTTTTGGGGAGGGGGAAGAGAGAGAGAGAGAGAGAGAGAGAGGAAGGGAGACTGACTGTTTACCTCCCACCCTGACTGGGGCCAGGGGATCAAGCCTGCAACTAAAGTACGTGCCCTTGGCCAAAATCGAACCTGGGACCCTTCAGTCCTAGGGCCAGTGCCCTAACCACTGAACAATACTGTCTTAGGGTAATAATAATTTAAGCTTTTATTATAAAAAAAATCGGAAAATAAAGTGCTAATTTATTAACCAAATATTTCTTTAAACCAGGACAGCTTTGTTTCAGAATAGCTAAAAAAATAAAGTATCTTTCCAAATAACAAGGTGTCAGCAAATGACATTTAAAAAATCTGCTGTAGCCTGAAAGTTACAAAGAAAATTATTTCAATTTCATATGTTACTTACTATCAGAAAGCTGGAGACTTACTGTATTATCAAATGTATAATTAGCCTAGAAAAACTTTCAAAGATATGCACAAATTTTTAATAAGCAAATACAGCCAGTGCTACTATCCTTTACAAATGTAAGACAAGTAATTAAAATCTTAATTTTAAAATACAGTTGACCCTTGAACAATGTACTGCTTAGGGATGCTGACCCCTATGAAGATGACAATCCATTTTTAACTTCTGAATTGCCCCGAAACTTAACTACTAATAGTCCACTGTTGACTGGAGGCCTTAGTAGTAACAAACAGTTGATTAATACATATTTGTGCCCTGACTGGTTTGCTCAGTGGTTATAGAGTGTTGGCCTGCAGACTGAAGGGTCTCAGGCTCATTTTTGGCCAAGAGCATATACCTGCGCCAGAGGCAACCAATTGATGTTTCTCTCTCTGTCCCATTCACTCTCTGAAAAACAATGGAAAAAAATATCACTGGGTGCTGGAAAAAAACAACCCCCCCCACATATTTTGTAAGTTGCCTGTATTATATATGTATAGTCTTTTGTTGTTGTTAATCCTTAAGGAAAGTTATTTTTCCCATTGATTTCTTAGAGAGAGTGAAGGGGAGGGAAGAAGAGCTGGGTAGAAAGAGATCAATGTGAAAGAGACACATCAACCAGGCCAGGGATCAAACCTGCAACCCACGTACATGCTCTTGACCAGGAATTGAACCTGAGACCCTCCAGTCCACAGGTTGACACTCTAAGCTGCTGAGCTACACAGGGCAGGGCTATATGTGTATTCTTTACAATAAAGTAAACCAGAAAATATGGTAATAAACTCATAAAATACATTTATAGTACTGTATGCATTTTCCGAGGGGGGGGGAATGTATATAAGACCTGCACATTTAAAAACTATTATTCAACAATCAACTGTATACTATTTCCCAAATATTCTTGAAAAAAAGAAAGAAGTGTTTTTAAAAACATAACATTTTCCATTGTTATGACATAATAATATTAATAATGTTTAAGGTACAAATTTCTAAATGAGTGTATTGTGTACAGCTCTTTCAAAAATTATTAAGACTAAAACATATTACTGTTATTGTGATATATTTAACTCCCCCAAACAAAAGGGAAAACTAACAAGAGAAAACTTAACCCTAGCCAGTGATTAGAGCATTGGCCCATGGACTGAAGAGTCCTATGTTTGCTACCTCAGTTGCAGTCTGATCCCCAGCCCTGGTTGGGGCACCTGCAGGAGACAACCAATTGATGTGTGTGTGTGTGTCTCTCTTTCCTTTCTGCTCTCTCTGAAAAGCAACAGAAAAAATATCCTTGGGTGAGGATTAAAAATAAAAAAAAACAAACTCAAAATATGTTATGTTTAAAATATAGTTGAAAAACCAATAGCTTGAGGCATTTTTTTTAAATCCTCACCTAAACATATGATTTTATTAATTTTTAGGGAGAGGGAAAAGGAGAGAGGGAGGAGGGGAGAGAGAGAAGAAGAGAGGAAGAGAAACATGCAAAGGTTGCCTTTCTATCACATTCCAACCAGAAATGGAACGGGAAATCTTTTGGTGTACGGGACAATGTTTAACCAACTGAGCCACTGTGGCTGGGCATTTTAAAAAATATGATAAAAGGAGGATGAAATTTAGGGACAGGTATATTAAATGAGCAGAGTAATAGACTTAATTCAAATAAATGTATCAACTGGGACTTAAAAAACCCTGAGTTTTTACTCTAAATGTGACAAGAAAAGTAGAGGGGAAAACACTTCATTATTTTTACCTCTTGCATATATACACATACGGATAGATAAGCATACCACAATTTAAACAAATGTATCAATTCCTAAAAATGGCAATGTACACAGGATACTTTCCCAAACAAGCAAGCGTGTGCACAGACACCAGGAAAGTTGCAGGATATAAAATTAATAGTTTAAAAAAAAATCAGTTGTGTTTTCTATACACTAGTAAAAAATTCAAAAAGGAAAACAATTCCATTTATAAGAGTATTAAAAAGATGAGTTTATCAACAGTTTCAGACTTTTACAAGATACAGTAATATCTATAACCATTCATCTGTCAACGAACGTTATCCATTCTCCTGTAAATTATTTCCTGATTCTAGCTGTTGTGAATACTGCTGCAATAAATATAGAAGGGCTAATATCTCTTTGAGACCTTGATTTCAATTATTTCAAGTACTTGGACTTCAACTATTTTAAGTCTATTGCATCATACAGTAGTTCTATTTTAAATTTTTTGAAAAATCTTCATGCTGTTTATCATTAACAGCTGCACCATTTCCTGTTCCCATTAACAGTATGCTAAGTTCCAATTTCTCCACATCCTTGCTTTTGTTTTTGATGATAGTCACCTTCATAAGTTTGAACTATCTCAATTATGGTTTTGATTTGCATTTTCCCCATTATTGCTGACATTGAACATTGTCTCCCAAAATCCATTGGTCATTTATATATCTTCTCTGGAGATGTAAATGTCCCTTACATACTTTCAAGGATAACCCCATTATTAGTGGATGCCCTCCCGCGCCCACAGGACACACAGCCATACAGGACTCCACACATATGGACAAATGGACTAACAGACTATAACTGACTTGGATGCTGAACTACAACTAGCAGCAACATGAAACAGAAATTCTGGACACTGGCCCTGTTTCTGGCTCTGGTGGAAACCCAGCTGCAGCTTTTCCAGGGCCAGCTTAAGTGGCAGGGGAAACTTTGGAACCCAAAAAATGTAACTCCATGCCAATAAAATCTTTTGCACTTCCCATCCTCCCATAGGAGCCTCTGAAAATGCTGATTTCGGCAACAATCTCATTGTGTATTCTTGACACTGTCAAATATCAGTTGACCATATATATGTGGATTTACTTCTGGCCCTCAATTCTGTTCCAATGGTCTGTATTGCTGGCTCTGTGTGAATAATGAAATCATAATGTTTTTGTTCCTGTAACTTCACACTATTTCAAAATCAGAAAATGTGATACCTCCAGCTCTGTTCTTCTTTCTCAAGGCTGATTTGGTTATTTGTATATGCTCTTATAATTCCATTTGAATTATAAAATTGTTTTCTTCTACATCTGTAAAAAAACATGTCACTGGCATTTATACAAAAATTGCCTAAAATCTGTGGACCTTAGTACGAACAATTTAATATTGTCTTCTGAAAACAGAGGGAATGTCTTTTCATTTGTTGTTATCTTCCTTCATCAATGCTCTGTACTTTTTAGTATACAAACCTTTCACCCCCTTAGATAAGTGTATTTCTAAGTATTTTATTATCTATGATTTTATTTACTTGAAGGCATTATGCTAAGTGATACACTAGTCACAGACAAATACTGCATGTCTGCCCTTATATAAGGTATCCAAAGTAATTAAAATTCCTAGACTCAAAGAGTGAAATGGTGGTTGTTAGGAGCTCAGAGAAGGTGGTAATGGGGAGTTATTAATTAAAAAGAATCAGGTTTCAGTTAAAAAAAGTAAATAAGACCTACTATGAGACCTACTATGCAACACTGTACATATAGTCAACAACACTGCGCTGTACACTTAAAAATATTGAGAGGGTAGGTCTCATGTTAAATATGCTTACCAAAGTAAACATTTTTAAAAACACAGAAAGACATCACAAAACTTTTTGAAATATTTAAAGTACAAATGGAAAGAATATAATATTCATGGTTTGGAATTATTAAGTTGATACACTACTCAAACCAATTGACAGATTCAATATAATCTCTTTCAAAATTGCATTGCATTTCTTGCAGAAATTTTAAAAAACATCCTAAAATCCATATGGAAATATAAAGGACCTCAAAATCAAACAACTTTGATAAACAAAACAAACTGAAATTGGGGGACTTACACATCCTGAGTTAAAAACTTATTTCTGTGATCAATTACATGTTCATTTCTTTCCTGCATCACTACAACAAAATTATAGTAATCAAAACACTATGACACTATAATAAAATGTACATAAAGACCAATGGAACAGAACCGAGAGTCCAGAAATAAACTCTCACATATCAGGTCAACTGATTTTCAACAGTGGTGCTGAAACCACTCAACAATGTCTAAATGGTGCTGGAAAAATCAGATATCCACATGGTAAACTATTATCTTATATGTCACACAAAATTTAACTGAAAATAAATCAAAGACCTAAAAGTAAGAAGTACAACTATAAAACTCAGAGAGAAAAAACAGAGAAAGTCTTCATGACCTTGAATTCTGCATTTTATATATACACCAAAACTACAGGCAACAACAAAACAAATTAGACTTCATCATAATGAAAACTTCTGTACATCAAGCCCAGCCAGTATGGCTTTGCAGCTGAGCATCAAC